TCTCTAGTCTTGCCTTGATGCCGAATGTTTGTGACAAAGCAATTGACTGCTCCCATTTTGGGGATATTTCCTTCATTGAAAGAAATATCCCTGTAGCCTCGGAGTTCAAAGCGCACCTGTCTGCTCTCTCCCTCCTTTCTTCCTCTGCCTGTTTTTCCTCATTCCACCTTCAAGTGAAAAAGGCCACATCTGCTCCACTGTTTCCTGTACTTTGACAGGCTTTTGAAGCTGCACGTCTTCCTCTTTGTGGGATGTTTTATCAGAGAGGAGCAAGAGTTTCCCCAGTCTCCTCCCTCCCCCCAACGCCTCCGGTTTGTCTAGGTTCCGTGAAGCGTCCCCTCTCAATTAAGATCCCTTCATGTTAATGGCGTTCTTATCACATGCTTCTCAAAGCAAAAGCCGAAAACCAGCTGCAGACTCCCCTGCCTTGTTTATTGGCTTCAGCTGGGCGTTCCTGTCGTGTCCTTTAGACTTTCAGTGCATCTCTCCATTTAACTTGACGGCTATGCGCTGACCTGTTTAGCTATCACAAGTTGTTGGAGGGTTGCTGGTTTCGTGGAGGTGTTCCAAGAGAAGCGGACTGGCCGCCGGGGTCACAGTGGCTTAATGAGACAGCCGACGCTTGACTTGAGCAGCTTCAGAAAGCAGATTGTATTCTTCTTCTCTTGTAGCTGCACACTCAAATTCCGGAGAAATTCAAGGTGATTTTATCCATCTCCATCAAACTTTGTCTCCATCCTCAGCTTCATGAGCTCAATGTTCTCCTTCCTTCCTTCCTTCTTTCATTCCTTCCTTCCTTGTCTAGTAGAGTAGAACAAGGTTTGTGACCTGAGGACAAGGTAGGCAGCCACTGATAGATTGCAGGAGGCTGCCTGGAAGTGCGTGGGTGCCAGAGAAAAGCTGTTGCCTGGCTACAGCATCACCTTCATTCACTGGTTGCGATGGCAATATCTTGCAAAGGTGCGCTTGTTATCGCACATTGACTTCTTTCCTATTTATCCCTCGTACGCTTAAAAATGGTGGCAATGTTGGTGTGTTAGCTTTATGTGCAGGCACTCCCCCGCCCACTCAGCAGGCCTTGCGCCCCCATGGCTGACTCCCCCAGACTCTGCTTGCAATTAGCTGAACATCTATCCATCTGTTCTAGGGAGGCGCGATAAACATGAACACAAAACACTGTCTGTTGACATGCTACCGTCGCACACACTCGCATGTAAAAAGAGGCTTTACTGGTCGGCACCCGTGTTCACACATCGCATCATTTTGCCATGTTTTCAGACGCAAACCATCAAGTCATACAAACGTGCACATTAGGAGACCAAGTCCACAGGCGTCTAAGAATCCCCTTCCACCGCTGAGGTGGGCCGAGAGAGCGCAACCCTCTGGGAAGCTAAATAAGCAACCCAAAGGCCACATTATACAATTAATCAAGAACTTAATGAGATCTCATTTTCGCTAGAAAAGATTATCCAGGGGAAAAAAAAAAAGAACCTTTCGTCCGTTCCCTACCCTTAAGGACACTTTGATTCGCTCCTCTATTCCCATCTATAACTGCTTCAGACAACAATGTGTATGCATGAAAGTGGTTAAGATTGCACGATTGTCTCTGTCTAATGTGTTGTCTTGTATTATTTTGTCATTTTATGTTAACTTTTCTTTTGATGGCGGCGCGGGCACCCGCAGCGGCTCCTCTATTGTATGTTGTCTTGAGAGGGAAGAAATTTCATCTGTGCTGTATGTTGCTCAAAGAGCACATTTGACAATAAAGTTGTTCTCGATACTTGATACTTGATACTTTTGTCAAGCTTGTGGTATTGCGTGGTGGAAAAGCAGCCAGTCGGAAATTCAATGAAATCACCATCTTGATAGATTTATGTGGCACTTTACATTTTCACTGGCTTGTTGTGGCTCCTCTCTTCTCTTGCTGAATGATATGGAGAGGTGCGCATGAGTTGGGAAGCTCTTGCTCATCATGAGGAGTGCAAAAGAGGGAAAACAAAATGGCGGGTACACCTGCCCTTCAAGTAGTGGGCGTGCACACACACACACACACACACACACACACACACACACACACACACACACACACACACACACACGCACACACAGACATACGCAGACTTTACAAGGTTTGAATCACCACATGGTTTTTTAGCTGTGGACACTTTCCACCCTTACATCCTCAACCTACTGCACGTACGAGTGTGTTGCACCCTTTCTGCTGTCCCGAGTAAAGACGTGGGGGTACGTGGCTTTGCCGTTGGCACAGCTGGTGGTGCCATCTGGGGGCATGGCTGGCCACCCTTGTGCCATCTGCAACCAAACCGGGCCGCCGCCATTGGACTGTGTCCACATCAATGACAGGAGACAAGCAAAGCAGGGAGATGCAAAGCGCCACAAAGTGCTGACACGGGGTCATCAGAGAGGGCGGCACTCGTTTGTCTGGTCGGGCTTCTTTTTCACACAAGGCATTGTTTTGCTACGCCCGGTCGCCCTCAGACGTACCCCTGTCTGATGAAAGGGGAGAGCGCGAGATGGAGCAGGGGTGACTGTTGCCCTGATTAATGGTATACACAGCGAGAGGGCACACCAACCTACTGTAGCCGCATCTTGATTTGGTAAGGATGAAGCTTTAACCTGCAGTGGCACACATGTGTTGTTATTGCATTTTTTTTCAATCAACCTCTTTGTCCACTGTTGTTTCTTGTTTAGCTGCAAATGCCTGCATGCTTCTAACATCAAGTACGGTGTTGATATACTGTACTTGGAGAGTACTGGTCGCCGGATGAATTCTTATGGGTGCAGGGGTGCCACGCACGCATGCACGCACGCGCACAGGCATGCACACACACACACACACACACACACACACACACACACGAGACATTCATTCTCTCATTATTAGGTGTCATCTTTTTACACAATGTTCAACAAGAAGGAATAAAAGTTAAAAAAGTGCACCCACCTGTCTGCCTTATGTCAAGGGAGCCATTGTATATTTTAATTAGAAGATTTGCCTCGTGAGTCATGATTCCATTATTGTTTGAATCTTTGTCTTTTATCATTTACAGCACTTTCTTAGAGTTGCGCTTGTTGCGCAGTGCTGTATGAATCAGGTTGAGCCGAGTTTAAATTAAATGATTGTGACAATCGAAAGGCATTTCACTTCTTTTTTTTTAAAGCCAAACGAAAACAGTTAGTCCAGCTGGGGAAAGAAAGCCATGCCAGAACAATCATCACACTTCACAGATGAAGCCATTTGCTCCAACCAGTCGGCCATGCCGTCACAGTAGACGACGCACGGCCAAACTGTTCTTATGCTGCAGCCTAGGAGAAAGGTTGCATTATCATGTATGTCTGTAAATTGGTTAAAAAAAAAAAAAACTCTGATGAAGTCCATAAATCCACCATACATGTTCATATACATGCGGCCCTGGCTCCATGTGACTTCACCGAGTTCTATATGAAGACAAAACTACATACACTGTAGGAGCCTGGCTGGGCCGCATCCACCATAGCCACATTGGCATGCAAGCTGCCAAGTAGATGCGGCGGCCTTATTGGGTGTGGCAAGTTCCGGTCAACCAGGCCGACCAGAAAATGACATTAGCCGTAAAGGTAACTCCATTTCAGCATTATTGGCTGGGGGGGTGGAATTCAGCGTCATATGGTGCACAATCACGGACTTCTGTGTGAATGGACAAACGAGTGAAGCCACCACCTTCTTAACGATGCCACTGGTACCCGTTAAGCGTGCCTAACTTGAATACCTTGATATCACCGCGGCGTGTTCACGTTATTTTCTGTCTCTAGGGCGAAAATGACAGAGTGTGTGTGCCGTATGGTTATACCAATAAGTCTGCACATTTTGTCGATAAGAATGCGAATCAAAATGTCTTCTTATGAGGTACAGTATATCTCCGAGGGCTTCTCAAAGATTGCTCTGCGTCATGTTGTCAGAAGCATCAAAAACGGAACGAAAGCAAAGCCCATCAGAACAAAATTTGTTGCAAAATGTACAACTAATCCCTGTAAATCACCACCCACCTTATTGAGAGATTCTACACTGGATGGTCGACGCTAACAATGAACTCGATTCTTTCAGAATCTCTCCTGAGTCCATACGGGCATCCTGGTGACACACACACACACACACACACACACACACACACACACACACACACACACACTGGTAACAGTGTTGTCAGCGGCAACGTTAGGTGGCTGCCCTCTGGCTTAGCTGCGAGGGGCCAAATGTAAATCAGTTTATACTGAAGGGCGTGTGTCCAATACGCGTGTAGTACGTGAGGACCTACTGCGCAAAGCACACATTTAACAGCCAGAGATGCAGGAATCAATTTTATTCATTGATTACTGTATACTATTCATCCTGCTCATCCAAAACCAGATATACTATATATTTAGTTTTTGATGTTTTCTCTTCTGATATTTCATCTTCATGATTAAATGTTTGTCCTTTTCAATGTGATTCAGGATCCTTAATGCCCTCTACTGACAAACCGCGAATGGGTCAAATCGTCAACCGCTAATCTATGTGCTAAACTTGGCAGTTGATGGATTTCAAGAGAAAACCTTTCATTTCGGGCAACGTATCACCTTCCCATGCATGTGGGAGAATGAGTTCAAAGGCCATCAATATGAGCACACAAAGGCAAATAGTGTAGACAGAAAAATCCAAATCCATTCCCAGGCAGATACAGATGAATGAGACTATTACAGATGCGTGTGTGTGTGTGTGTGTGTGTGTGTGTGTGTACGTGCGTGCGTGCGTGCGTGCGTGCGTGCGTGTGTGTGTGAGACCACTGTATGTGCTGTTTCTAGTTTGATTTCTCATGAGCCAGCTGGCGCCTTTCAGAGTGGTGAAAGCACTAATAGCTGAGCTGCAACGTCCACTCTTTGCCGTCGCCTACTTCGGAGCACCGAGCGTGTTCCCCTTGCAGCTGACACAACCCGTAATCTCATCTGTGCTCTCCCCACAGAATCCTGACATTGTGCTCGTCCACTATTTGAATGTGCCGGCCATTGAGGATTGTGGCAAACCATGCGGTCCGATCCTGTGTTCCATCAATACGGACAAGAAGGAGTGGGCCAAATGGACCAAGGAGGAACTGATCGGCCAGCTGAAACCCATGTGTGAGTGTTTCGCTCTCCATTGAGAAAATTCCATCTACATGTACAGCTTTTCATATCAAACGTGCTGCTCTGAAATGCTCTTTGCGCGCCTGAGAGAGAGAGAGAGAGAGAGAGAGAGAGAGAGAGAGAGAGAGAGAGAGAGAGAGAGAGAGAGAGAGAGAGATTTGTCTGCGGAGCCGCCGTCTGCTCCTATTAGCTGAAGTGCCCTTAAGCACCTCAGTCAGAGAGCATCTCCGGCCACTCACTGTTTCTTCTTGAAGTCGTACTGGATGAGTGTGCGGCCTTGCTGAAGCCGTTTGGAAGTTGCGAGTCAAAGGGCAGCCCATCCAATACCGCTGGTGCGCTCAGGCCAGCCCAAGAGTTCGCCTCCTTCAAGTGCAAGTGTGGCAAGGCACAGCAGGACATCTCATTGGCTATTGAGTCATGTTAGCATGTGGGAGCAGGAATGTCTGAATCACCGGAAAGTACCCCTCCGAGCCAGCCCCCACTCCCATTGTATTGACCGATGTTGTTATCACCTTTACAGACGTTCTTGATGTCTGTGTGTGTGTGTTTTTTTATGTGTCTCTGTGCCTTCCTAAGGACTAAGGTGATGTGGTGGAAAAGGTCAGGGTCTTTCAGATGATGGTAATGGTCAAATAGGGACTTTGTACAACATGCTCAATCTTCCAGGCATCAGTATACATCCCCATAACCACCCATATGTGATTTAGGGCAAGCGAGCATGCGATGGCAGGCTGATGACTTCCAATGGCCAATTATTTGTGCTGTGGCCAGCTAAAGAGGAGCCTTAAAGGCACTCGCCCCTGCTCACTGCGCACTGACAGGTATCATCACTGAGCTTTTGTCTACATCATTATCCTCCTCACTGCTCCACTTCCTGTCACTTTGAGGACATAAAGCCGCCGAGCAACAATGGCCTACAGTGTTCATTACATCTGCGACTTAATGTAAAACCAAGCACCATTTGCAGTAATGCGTTAAGTCATTAACTTTGGGAGTTGTTGGGACAAAGAGGGTGACGCCTTCCAGCTACCCAGCTGCGCGAAAGGAATCCATAAAGTGCAGCAAAAAAAATAAAAAATCATGCTTTCTGTCTATGCACTTTTTTTTTATCTTTTCCTCTCCTTTCTAGCCTCTTGTAATGGAGGGTTAGTCATGCTTAAGCAAGCTCTGTGATGGGGCAACATTGTCATCTAGTGGTTCTCTTTGGTAGCACCAGACATTATCTGTTGAAATGAGGAGGGACGTGTTGTATTCGCTCAATTCCCCTCGCGATTTATTTGGTACACTTGCACCAAACGCAAGCTGTGTCCAAAGTTGTGATAAACATATTGGTTCTGCTTATACTTTTTGTCAAGTCGTTTGACAGCTATTTTCATGCAGTATATTGGATGGATGGATGATGGTGATGAATTCTTCTTCCAACAATGTGAAAATCCATTACATTTGAAAAAAATGGACCTGCACTTGAAGTCATAAAAATGTACCTCCCTCACATAGGACATCATTTGAAAAATTCATATGCAGGCTCAGTGGTTGCAATTTATTCATACAAAGTACAAAAGTGACACATACACACACAGATATTTGCATACTATATGTGCTTTTATCTGATTCCACAGAGCTGCTGCTGATAAACTAGCAGACCATATTTCCCTTTTTTTTTGGCAGGACTGTGCCAAAAACATCAGGATTCAAATTCAGCAAACGTTATGGTCCAGAGTGCATCACAATGAATTTAGTTTCATGCTGTGTGCATATCTCCAAAATGGCTGTTTCTTCAGCAAGTGATCCCCGCGTTTCATGTCACACAAATATTTCCCCAGAACAGCGTAATTACCCTCACCTGTATCGTTCTTCCCTGTCTCTTCAATATAGTGTTAATACTTTTCCAGTTTGACAGCCCTAATGACACACTTTACAAAGGTAAAATGGGCAATGTATGTGTGGGTTGAGCTTGCTCTGTCCCATGCATGGCAAGGACACATTCCCATGTCCAACGACTGAGGCATATCAAGTTGGAACACAACTGCACTGTGAAAGGTGTCTTTGCGTGACCTCGGTTGGTCTCACGCACCCTCCGGTGTTGGATGAGAACGATAACGAGTCAAGAGAGTGAGGAGAATCCAAGAGATTGGCATCATTACTCAGTCACGCTACAGTTGTATAGACAAGGCAGCCAGCTTGATTCACTGCTCCGCTCTCATGCAACAAACACGGAGCTCCTGCTCTCTCCGCGGCTATGCCCGCAGCCTGCTGACAGATAGCGCATGAGCGCCTTTAACAAATACTCAGACAGACAGACACAAGGCCCTTCTCCAGGCTACAGAGTGAGAGAGTGGGGATGGGAAGGACAAAACAAAGCAAGCTGAGCTTTGCTGCCATCCCGTAATGACCAGTGGCAACCTGTTGGGATGTGAGTTCCTTGCATTTTTTCGTCCGGGTGGCGTGATGCTCATTATCAGATGTGGATGCTGAAGTGATTGGCCTGTGTTTGCTGTCTTTTGTGTTGTTGCTATTGAGATCTAAACTATGAGCAATGGGGTTGAAAACTGACTTTTGAGTCAGAGGAGCGGCAAAACCCGAGTGATAGGGGCTGAACGATGGCTTGCAGTGATAAATATCGATTCTCGAATTGCATCATGTTTGACGATTATCCGAACATGAGAAAGGGAAAACATTTGAAACGTATGGAAGTGGAGCGACTTCGAAGGCCCTGAGGGAGCAGCTACACTCAATTGTTCAATCAGATTCAGATTTTTTTTTTTATTGAACACATTTTAGTGTTGTGTCTACAATTCAGTTCAAACTGGCCCCTGCTGAGTGGATAAATCCCGAAAGAGCTCTGAAGCACAACAGCTAATTTTGTGAAATGGTGATGCCATTGTCCCACCTCTCTACACTGAAAAAAATGGTGTGTTGAATTGACTCCATTTTATTTCGTCAAGTGGTTGCGCGAAATGAAATCCTCTGCACCCAGGTCTTTTTTTGTTTTTTTAAGTCGACTATACATCTTCTTACAAAATACATTTAAATCCACATGATTCTATTGACATTAATAAAATAAAATGGAGTCAATTCGACACGCCATTTTTTTCAACGGTACAAGAAAACATCGTGGACGGCAAGCTTGTGTTTGAGCCACAGAAGCTAACGATTCATTGGGACATCTGCTGCAGATTATTCTGCTCTTTTACCAATATACGGTCAGTGGAATATTTACTAGAAGCTCTTCCATTCAACATGGCGCTAAACTGGAAGGCTTAAAAGACTAGAGAAGACTGCGAAAGGCTTTGGCATAGTTGTAAGGCAGACATGCAAAATCATCCATTAGCATCCACCTGCACTCCAAATACAAAAATAAGAAATAACAGCAATGCCTATTAAGTTTTTCTGTCGTTTCTCTTGATCTCGTGGCAGTGTGTTGTCTACATGAAAAGGCAATTGCATCATTTAATGCAATCAAAGCACAACACATTCCTCTTTTATACTGCTTGTTTTACACACTACCTGGTAGTGATTAAAGCATCACTGTCAAACAGGGCAATTACATTTTCCAGGAATAAATTAAACTGGGGGTCAGCAACCCGAGGCTCCAGAGGTGCATGCGGCTCTTTAGCGCCGCACTAGTGGCTCCCTGAAGCTTTTTTTAAAATGTTTGAAAATGGAAAAAGATGGGGGAGTGAAAATGTATTTTTTTGTTTGAATATGGTTTCTATAGGAGGACAAACATTCTTAACATGTTCCAATGCTGTAAAAACGTGTCGAATAAATATTACATTTCAACATTTCTGTCAACGAAGATTTGCGTCATAGCCTGTGACACAGGTTTCTATTAGCAGGGTGGGATGCCAGGCAGGTGGCTGTTGTACGAAGAAACGGCGTTTCATGTCCAATTCACCAAGGGAACTGGCAAAGAATGGCAATCTGAAGGACCGAGAGAAGCATTTTAAACCGGTACACGTCAGCTATGAAAGTTAACATGCTGCAAAAGTGCGTCCCGTGCCTCGTTCATCTCAGGGGCTACTATGGCTGTTGCTCATGATGGCATGCGTGTGTAAGTGCGTTCGTGTGCGGTCACGGGTCGATCGCGGGAGGCTGGTTGATCGAAAAATAGAGCTTTGGTCAAAAATGGTTGGGGCCCCCTGCTCTTCAGGATGCACTGCAAGGAAAAAAACGGTTCATCAGGAATGCTCATTGTGTATTTGTAGCCAACTTGGTCATTTTAATAGTAGGCTAATATAGCAAATTTAAATACATACAGCGTGTGTTGCCTTCTTTCTGAGGCTTTTAATTTGTTGCGGCTCCAGACACATTTGTTTTTCGTTTTTTTCATCCAATATGACTCTCTCAACATTTTGGGTTGCCGACCCCTGAATTAAACGGTCTCTCCAAATTGACGTTAGAAGTGATTGTGAGTGTGACTGGTTGTTTGTCTCTGTGTGCCCTGCGATTGGCTGGCAACCAGTTCAGCGCGTACCCCGCTTACTGCCTGAAGACGGCTGGGATAGGCTGCAGCATGCCCGCGATGCTTGGAGGATAAGCGGATGAGAAAATAGATGGATGGATGGATCTAGCTGTCAGCATGACATTCTTCTTCACTATGTTCAGTGAATGCCTTGGAAATGCTGATTGTTCTACACTCTTCTCTGGACTTTTATCTTTGAACAATGACATCACTCTGAAGGAATCTCTCTTCAGGCCATGGCTTGTCCTATAAGATGTGACCAGAGGAATGTGAGGAAAAGCTTACTCGGGCAGTTGAATTTTATTTGTGGTTAATAGGAGGCATCTTTGATATTGGCAGGTGTGTGCTAACTTTGTGTTGACAAATTCACATGCTGTGTACTCTGAAGGCTGCATTTTCAGCGACGGTTGAGTCGTGCGGCCGAAAATGCAGCCTTGGAAGAACATGGTTTATGTCTCCCAGCTGGCCTGGGAAGGCCTGCCAGGATTCCCCGGCAAGCGTGGGACAAAATGTGGGCTTCTTTGCCAAAGCTACTGCCCCCGCAACCAGACCTTGGATGAATGGAGGTTGTAGGTCATTGTAATGATGGAAAAAGTTATTACCTTATGTGTTTTGTTTTTTTTTTTTAATGGCATTTGAACAGAGGTTTATAGCCTTTTTTTGCCACTGTACATGTGCATTCTGCTATTTTTCACACAAAATTAAGCATCATACGTCAAATGCTGGCAACCCGGTGGTCCAGTGGTTATCGCGTCGACCTCACAGTGCTGAGGTCGTGGGTCCAATCCCAGCTCCGACCTTCCTGTGTGGAGTTTGCATGTTCTCCCTGTGTGGGTTTTCTCCGGGTATTCCGGTTTCCTTCCACATTCCAAAAACATGCATGGCAGGCTGATTGAACACTCTAAAGTGTCCCTAGGTGTGAGTGTGAGCGCAGATGGTTGTTCATCTCCGTTTGCCCTGCGATTGGCTCGCAACCGGTTCACGGTGTTCCCCACCTACTGCCCGAAGATCGCTGGGATAGGCTCCATCACCCCCCGCGACACTTGTGAGGATAAAGCAGATCAGAAAATGGATGGATGGATGTCAAATGCTGCTAAGTGGAGGTTAAAATGTTGGCCTCATAGTCAAGAAGTCCCACTTCAAATCTGGTCTTTTCTGTTGACTTTGCATGTTCTCTCTGTAATCCGCCATTCCCCAACAAAGGCATGCATGTTGTGTTCATTGAAGGTGTTGTGAATGCTTGGGTGTTTATCCACTATTATGCCCTGTATTGATTGGCCTCTCACCCAAAGTCAGCTGAGTCCAGCTCATCCGCTACCCTAATGAGGGTAAACCATATCGAAAGGGGATGGCTGAAGTATATGTTTATATGACTCTGAATCAACAACAACAACAAATCATGCTGTCTTTTCCTTTCTATCTGAGCATTTTCCATACCATGCCTTTCCATTTTCTGTATACTCTCTATTGTCCATATTCCGTACTTATCTCTCTTGCATGCTTAGAGAAAGAATAAGGTAAAATATGGCGCTGGATTTACTTTAGTGAATTATGATGAATGTGCTTCACTAGAAAATTCTGACCCTTTTTTTCTCACTTCAGCCATCTAATGCACAGTTTCTATCTGCAGCCACTAAAAGAGAAATCCATCTGATAAGACGACATTTGGGCTGCTTGGCAAGCAGAGCGATGAAGTATGATTAGAGTATCAGGATGTCTGACTGAGCTCACAAGGAGAAAGTCTCTGTCTGGGGTTTCTTCCCCTGTCAGAGTAGAGAATTGGGTCAGGGTAACAGCAGCGGGTGGAAGGATGGGCTTGCTGTCGCTTTCATCAGCTCTCACAGAGAGGACACAATAGCATGTGGGGAAAGAAAAGGCAACTTCCACAAGGCACTGATGGGAGACGAAATGTTGTTCAGGGAGGAAGGCACGTTTTTCTTTGCTGTTGTCTGAGTACGATGGAAACAGAGCGAGATAGAGAGAGACGGCAGTCAGAAGGTCGTCTGTTTGCCCCCAGGCCAGAGCAGCAATCGCTGTGAGGTGTCGTGTGATCAGGTCGCAGGTTGGGGGGCTTCGGCGTGGCTGGTGGTCTGACATCTGTGTCTCCTCCTCCTCTCTCCCGGCAGTTCATGGCATCAAGTGGACTTGCAGCAACGGGAACAGCAGCTCTGGCTTCTCAGTGGAGCAGCTAGTGCAACAGATACTGGACAGCCACCAAACTAAGCCACCTCCCCGGACTCACAACTGCCTCTGCACTGGCACGCTGGGTAAGGGTTTTAGTGACCGGGGCTGAGCTTGTTCTCGAGGGGCGAGCGGCAATACAGCTCAAGGATCCTTTTCTTTTGACGTGCTAGATTAGAGAATGGGGTCGCAGTTGATTGCTCTTACATTCGGTGTAAACTTGAGTGTCTCTATTTGTGTCACAGTGTGATATTTTGCATCAAAACTGCACATTTTCCTTTCTCCGTCATAACAATACCCTATGTTATGCTTTCAGTTGAAGAGATTAGAGTCATGATGGTTTAGACACACCATTGTATGACCTAAAAAAGGCAAAGGAACCCTTGACGCTGGGGATCGAAATGCTTGACTAGTGAAAATGCTCAAGTGAGCTTAACAGTGGTAGCCCCTCATTTATGGCAGAATTACCTTCCATACCATGCCCACAATAGACCACATCTAGAAAATAACTCTTCGCTTTAGACCAATTTTAAAGCTTCAAGCATAAACGTCAATAGCAACAGGCGGTATATGCATGTGAGGTGCAGGTAATATTCTTGTCCGCTTGGGATCGCCATCTTCACACTTTACATGTTCTCTTTGTGACGTTGGTTGTGTACCTGCCTTTGAAAGGCAGGCCTGGCCTGTTGAGTGACTTGGAAATGAGCGAATGGGTCTGTATAGTTGGCCAACCGCTAAGAGGCTTCAGTGTTGTGTGTAGAGTGATGGGGTCAGTTGAGGCCATGAGCTGGTTTGCTCGGTATGTGCTGGTATTTACCGTGTTGTGTTACCATTTGTTCAATAAAGAGACTGAAAGTGCGTCATCATTTGCTTCCATTCTCCTTGTACTCAAACCGCCTGTTATGGTTTACAGTTTGTTCTAACGAGCAGTGTTAGGCTGTATTCACATAGCTGACAGTTTGCTAGATGCGCAGCTGTGTTTGTCTTATTTGTTGAAATGATCCCAAACTTTAGACATTCTGTGTCTTTTTACATTATTTCCTCCTGGCTTAACTTCACCACTATGTGAGTCTCCGATAACAGTCTGGGGGGGAAAAATAAGTATGGCAAACCCCCTACATATAGCAAACAGTGTGTGGTATACGTATGAATACAAAAAAATTGCGATGAACCGATGCCATAAAAGTGAACCACGATTTAGCAAGTGACGACTGTCCTGGTGATGGGGCAAGGACTCTGAGAACACATTCCAGGAATGAATAGATGATGTTTGTTGCTGTCGTGGCAGAAAAGCTACCATGACATTTAGCACGGGTGCAGTAGTTGAAACAGTTCCTGATAATGCTAAAGCACATCTGCATTGCTCTCAGATTCTTCTGTTGTCATGCAAATGCAGCTCATACAGTATTTCCCATTTATAGAACTTAAAATGTAGGCCGTTATGTATTAATATCAGTAAAGGCCTCAAGATTTTTCAGGGCACTACGATTGATAGTTTGCAGCACTGCTTTTTGGAGAATGATTGTATAAACTGTACCTCCTTTGTCAAAGAAAAAAAAAACATCAAATGGATCAAATCATAATTGTCTTTTTTTTTCTTTTCCTCCATGTCTAATCCAAATCCTCTGCTTTGTTTCCTGCTCGCCCTTAGGTGCTGGTAGCAGCGTGCACCACAAATGCAACAGCGCCAAACATCGCATCATCTCCCCGAAGGTGGACCCCCGTACAGGATCCTACAGCAGCGCTCATTCAGAACTGCAAAACAACGACGTGTCCGAGGGGAAAACTGAGAACAGCGGCCATGGTGGCACCAAAAGCACCGGGGGAGGAGGAGGAGGAGGAGGAGGAGGAGGAGAAAAAGCACTCCTGCCAGACCAGAGAGGAAATGCTTTTTTTCTTCTTCATGCTGTGGATTTTCTATTGCTGGTGCTCACTCCCATAGGGACCACCATCCACACACACACACACGTTGTCTGTACTTCAGAAATTTGAGCTGGC